GGTGACTGCAAAAGTCGTCAATGGGCAGACGCGAAATCGTCGTCGCACTAATGAACGTGCTGTTTCCATGGTTACTCCGCAAAAGTGGCTCGCCGACTTCCACTTCCGCGCGCCAGACCTCGTGAAGTTCTCCGAGACGTGGAAGGACGACGAGACGTACATGGACAAGCTGAGGGCGTCGCTGTCCAGCAAGCTGCCGCGCGATCAGACGGACGAGCGCATGCTGCTGAACTATGTGGAGCAACTCGCACAGCTAGTCGAGGTTAGTGGGGAGGGCGGGGTTAGTGGGGAGGGTGAGGTTAGTGGGGAGGGCGAGGTTAGTGGGGAGGGCGGGGCTGTTGCCAGAGAGACGTGTAATCGAAGCAAAGCTTTGTTGGTCGTGGGTAGACATACTGAATCGATGAGCAATGAAGCTTGTTGAAGGTAGCGATAGTAGTAGTAGTAGTAGTAGTAGCGGTAGCGGCAGCGGCAGTGGCAGCAGCAGCAGCAGTAGTAGCAGCAGTAATAGCAGCAGCAGCAGCAGTAGCAGCAGCAGCAGCAGTAGCAGCAGCAGTAGTAGTGTAGTGTGGCAGAAGGATTCGCAGCAAGCAGAGCTGCTTGTGAGAGAGACGTAGTCAAAGCAGATCTGCTGAATTTCATCTTGGCACAGGTGGGGACATCAAATTCGGCTGGCGATATCTCATTTTAATCCTTGCTTGCAATGATGCTACTGTTACAATAATCGTGCTGCACGTTTGTTTGTACAGGGTGTGGATCCAGATCGGTGAAATTATCAGCAAAGATCCACAATCCTGCTAACGAGGTAGATCCAACATGGCTGCACACGAAGTTAGCCAATCGAAATGCACCGCTAGCAAAGACCGTGTACAGTAAGACAGGACGCGCATCCGAAATGCGCCCCAAGCATGGCGGCAGTGCCGACCAATCGCAGGCTAGCTGGCGTTTTACGCGATCAGCCGCGCGCACGTGCCGCGACGAATGCATAAACACAAGATCATTAATTGTCGTTGTTGTTTGATCGAGTTTTTATTTATTTGTTTGTTGTTGTGTTGGGGGAGGGAGGTGTTGTTTGTGTTGTTGTTGTTGTTGTTGTTGTTGTTGTTGTTGTTGTTGTTGTGTCATTGGCGTTAAACGTCATCATGTGGTTGTGTTAGTAAGCGTAAATAAAATGCATTCAATGTCATTATCATGTTTTTCGTGCTTGCTTTTAATAAACTGCTTTGTCGTAACAAGAACAACAGCACTTAAAGAATGTGTGTGTGTGTGTGTGTGTGTGTGTGTACGCGTGCGTGCGTGTGTGCGTGCGTGCGCGCGCGTGTGTGCACATATAACATGTCACCATCCATAATTGATGATTTATATAAGTGTCGGCATATGGATATCGTTTAACCAATGCAATTATTATAATACGACCAGCCATTATCTGGCATGGGTGGCATATCTATAGCTATACCTGAGTAGTGGGCTTGCATCTCGCTGTCCCAGCATATGTGTTTTTGCTCTTGTCTCCTGGGCATTGGTTGATGTCAAGGTAGTAAACCGGAATGTCGATATTGACTGCTCCTACATATCTACGAAAAACGGAATCCGTAGTTAGAATTAATTTATAGTTAAACCTACGTTTGAAAACCAGTTCGTATGTAATTCTGCGAAACTGGGCGAGGTAGCTTTTCGATAACCCCGAACGGAAAATATATTAATTATTATATAGTGCCCCCCGCTTTATCGGCACAGGAAACCATGAATGTCCCGATTAAGCGATGGCCCAGATTGCGCGGTGAACGCGCGTGTATAATGATTAACACTATAGTTGTCGTTTAAAGTGTCATTAATTTATGCCTCTCAATTAACACGTCGTTTAAGCGATGCGCTTGTTTATCCGAGGCCCGATAAAGCGGGGGAATCGCCGTATTACGTTTCTATACACGCGGCATTTCACACTCGCTGTACATACAGGGTGTGGTTCAATAATGATTACACATCGGTGCGGATTTAGCCTTCATATTACGGCTGGTTACGAGACTTGTCTTGTTGTGTAAAAGCAGCGGTGAGTTCAATGCAGGGCGTGGCCTGCCGCCCCCACCCTCCGCCGGTCACGTGGGCGAGGCGGATGAGAATTAGCAGACGACGCATAATGAGGTTGCTGGGGCGCGTTGCTGGTGACGCGGCAGCCATTGTGGTGACGTCACGTTGCGTGAGTCGAGCTCGAAATTCATTGTCGATACCAAGAAAGAGCGAGGAATTCATCGCCACAGTTACTCACATAAGCTCATATAACCTTAAATATTCTCTAGTCTTAAAAGTCCACGAGACTATATCGAAGACAAAGCTGATCAAATAGACAGATCAACACTGGGGATCGCAGTAGGAAAAGCTTCGAGTTTGCAACTAACTAAAGAGGAAGGGAAAATAATTCCAGTACGGAATAACAGAAACGAAGAAGCGAAACTTAAACTGATCCTTTGAAGATATGACGCGTGTTGAAAGCAATGATCACGCTCAGATGATCGAGTGCAACGAACAGGTTTCATCAAGCAAGAGGGAATGCCATTATATCAAGAGCTAATAATAGCTAATAACGGTATTATTAGCTCTTGAATATATCTATAGCACTATAGTGATAGAAGGGCCCCGGAGGAAAAGAGAAAAGCGAAACATGGTGAAGGACAGTGGAGAAAGAAAGGATTACATTAGAGTTTATAAAACATGGAACGAGGCCGAAAGAGCTGCTAAAGATAGAACGTCATGGGGAAATTTGATTTCCAGTCCTAATCTCCACGAAGAAAAACAGAACTACGAGGATAGTGGTGTGAAGGGTAGGGCGTGACCTATCTTTATAGCATCGCTGCATCAGAGCGAGCAGAGCTATGTGTTGACTCGTTGTCAGATTAATTGGGAATTATAAACTGTTATTATGCTCGAGTGACGAAGCGGTTTCGAATATAAATCGAGTTGTTAATTATCTACACGAGCAAAACGTACGCGCGATGAATCAGAGATGAAATCGGGATGCAGCCGCTGGGTATATATATATA